TGTCCCTCGAGGTCGGACCCCCGGCCGCCGCCGCCGCCGCCGCCCCATCTGCCCGAGCAGCGCTACTCCCTGTCGGACTTCTGCTGGACGCTGTGCGCCCTGCTGGTCTTCTTCTCGGACGGGGCCTCAGACCTGTGGCTGGCCGCGGACTACTACCTAAGGAGCTACTACTGGTGCTTTGCTCTGACCCTGGTCTTTGTGATCATCCCGTCCCTGGTCGTGCAGGTGCTCAGCTTCCGATGGTTCGCTTACGATTTCTCGGAGACCGTGGAGAGCGGCACGGCCGCTGCCGCCGTGGTGGCGGCGGCGACGACGACCGGAGCGGAGGAGAGGGACCCGAGCATCAAGGACGGCGGGGAGCGGGGCGCTGGCTGCGGTGGCGGGGCCGCGGTGCCGCCAGGGCCGAGCTCCGCGGGTGGAGCCCGCAGCTGCTGCAGAGCCGTCATGTGGATCTTCCAGACCGTCGTCCACATCCTTCAGCTGGCGCAGGTGTGGAGGTGAGTGTCGTTCACGAGCCGGTTCTCAGCCTTTGTATGTTCGTGTGAATGAATGGTGTGAATTACAGCTGACATGTTCAACACCTGTCGTTCACACGGGACCAGAACCTGGTCCTAATGAAACCTGTCTCTGTGTGTGGTTCGGGTTCAGGTTGGTTTAGGGATGTAAATAGTGGGTTAGGTTAGGATGTCAGCGTGAGCGCGCGAGCGCGTGCACGTCACTCTATCTACCGGATGTTTCAGGTTTATGAGAAGCAGTTCATCAGGGAATGACCGAGTCCAAAATACCAGCGTTCCTTTCTGTGTATGTGTGTGTGTGTGTGTGTGTGTTGGGTGACATCCCATCCCCGCCTTGGAAAAGAAGGATTAGACTCCGCCCACCGGCCTGACGCTTTTAGGTCAATCATCATCTCAGAGCAAAATCAGTAACCCAGAACAGAGCACAGGGATGTTAGCAGCTAGGTTAGCCGCTGTAGCAAATATGACAAAAAATATAAATATAAAAAAAATACAAAAACAAATCTGAAATACTGCAGTAATACTAACATGGAAACTCAAACAAACACCATCCCCAGTTGACCCCGACGACCCGCCCAACAGGAGGGACCTGAGGTAGCCTTATTTTTTTTAGTCACACCCAGAGTATATATCTGCTGGGTGACAGAAATTGCCGCCGTAGCAAATATGACAAAAAATATAAATATAAAAAAAATACAAAAACAAATCTGAAATACTGCAGTAATACTAACATGGAAACTCAAACAAACACCATCCCCAGTTGACCCCCACGACCCGCCCAACAGGAGGGAGCTGAGGTAGCCTTATTTTTTTTTAGTCACACCCAGAGTATATATCTGCTGGGTGATAGAAATTAAATTAAATATCTAATGTTTTCCGAGATTTCAAAATTTGAAAAAAAAAAAAAGACGAGAATTCCATATTCAAGACGTCAGGTTAGCTTCTCATCAGATTAGCTCCAATAATTGAAAAAGTTCAAAACTGAACGTTCAAAAGTTCCCAACATAAGGGGCGGGGGCATGTACATGTTCGCATTAGCCAGAGCTAGAATATCATGATAGACGTGGTCGCTGTCGGAGAAACTGAGGATCTCGAAAACTAGCTAATAAAACCAGACGCCTTTGAAGTGATACATCAGAGATGTCTTTGATTTACCACGAGGTTAAAACAAAAATGTCTCTGACGTCTTCCAGCCCCTCCCCTCCCCCTCACTCCCCCCCGACTGATGTCTGCTGTCGCTGTTACTTTAAAGTCTTCAAAAGAGATGAATTAATTTCATCTCTTTCTTGACTAAATGCTAATGAGATTAAAGTCTGGATTTATAAAAAAAAAAATCCAATCTTCTCAGTTCTCCTCCTCTTCCTCCTCCTTCATCTTCATCCTCCTCCTCCTCCCAGACTGTGGTCCTCACCTGAGTGGAGTGGGTCTGTAGGTCAGACACTCTGATTGGCTCAGACAGGTTTGACCTGAGAGGGTGGGTGTGAGTGGAGGACGGTCACAGACCCACCCAGGTTACAGAACCGTTACAGAGCAGTGACGAGGATGAGCTCCACCATCAGTCCATCTGGAGTACTGCTCCGTCTGTGTTTTTCTCTGTGGTCTCCTTCTTCCTGCCTCTTTAGAGCGCCTCCTGGGTAATATATATATACATATATATTGATTCTTTATTTCCTCCTGGAGACTCGCTCTCCGTCTCCCTCTGTCTCTCCCTCTTAGCGTTGCCGCTAACCGATGGTTTTCTAACCATTTATCTTTCAGCTGTGTTTCTCTCTGCCCTAAACTCTTGTCGTTTTTTTTTTCACTGTTTTCTGCGTTTCCTGCCAAATATAGAGCAGAAGGACCGAAAAAAAAGAAAGTACTGGAACAAATATTGTAGTAGAAAAAAATGGTTCCATTATTTCAGATATAAAAAATTAAAGTATGTTTGTTACTTTTGAAAAACAAATGCTCATTTACTAGGGAATTTATGGTTCTTTATTAATTTCTTCTTCTTCTTCTTCTTCTTCTTCCTCTTCTTCTTCTTCT